TACTAGTTCTGAATGCAAATTGTACCTTTATTCCATCATTGCTCCTCACGGTGGCTCCACCTGTATGCACAGATGTAAGTTCTTGACCACATTTCCTGTTGTAAGAACTATGGTTTTCCTGTATGGCGTTGTGGGGTGCTGTGATTGGGTGTCTACACTCTGTCATGATCAATTGGACAAGGTATTTTTCATTGCCCCTTCTCACTGAAATCAATGAGAGGGAGACTCTTTATTCTACGTCCAGGGCTGCTGCCATGGGTGGCGCTGCAGCCGTGTGTGGAAGACGTGCCAAATGTGGCATAAGCATGCTTGTCCTGTCCACCCCATGACTCCACCCTGTTCCAGCTGTTCTGCCAGCAAATCATTGCTTGTGCAACTCTTCCATCAATACGCTCTGCTGTTGTTTCTTTCATAGTGCGGACATATCTGGCATTTCACCAGTGAAGCAAGTTTTTCATGGACTCCTTAGCCAGTGGCTTTGCAGTATGAAAGTATACATATTTAATCCAAAAAGAAGAGCACCCCATGACTCCACCCTGTTCCAGCTGTTCTGCCAGCAAATCATTGCTTGTGCAACTCTTCCATCAATACGCTCTGCTGTTGTTTCTTTCATAGTGCGGACATATCTGGCATTTCACCAGTGAAGCAAGTTTTTCATGGACTCCTTAGCCAGTGGCTTTGCAGTATGAAAGTATACATATTTAATCCAAAAAGAAGAGTGTTAAAAGGCTTTTCATGGACTCCTTAGCCAGTGACTTTGCACTATGAAAGTATACCCAGTATACATATTTAATCCAAAAAGAAGAGTGTTAAAAGGTGCTTTGGTGCCTCAGAAGACAATAGTAGCCATTGACATATTTCATGGTAAAATATTTATTGTTAGCCTGTTATGGAGAATCAGAGAGATGTTGTGGATAGAGTGTCAGACCAGGGCTTGGGAGACCTGTTTTCAAGTCTCCACTTGGTTTGACACTGCAACCCCACTCATGGAGATAGGGGACAATGGTAAACTATTCCTTGAACATCCCATATACCACAATAACCATGTTAGGGTTGCTGTAAGTTGGAGGACTCTGCCCACTGTCTCAGAATCTACAGAAAGGAAACAACAATTGAGTTTCCTTTTATCTGATAGCAACTTCTCTTTATTGTTGTTTCCAAAAAACTAGCAAATAACATTTTTGGCATCTTAAAAGCTAGCAAATTCCTTTGTGTTTTTGGGTTGCGTTGATACCACAATAACCATGTTAGGGTTGCTGAAAGTTGGAGGACTCTGCCCACTGTCTCAGAATCTACAGAAAGGAAACAACAATTGAGTTTCCTTTTCTCTGATAGCAACTTCTCTTTATTGTTGTTTCCAAAAAACTAGCAAATAACATTTTTGGCATCTTAAAAGCTAGCAAATTCCTTTGTGTTTTTGGGTTGCGTTTTTAACATGTCAGGATAGCTTAGTGGATTGAGATACCTGGGTTGGAAGTTGATTCCTGCTGTGACTCCCAGGGGTAAAAGCCAGCCTGTGCAGGCTTGAGCAAACTATGTAGTTTCAGAATGTCACTAGAAGGGAGGGATTGCTAAGCTATAACTGAGTACATTATGCTGAGAAAACCCTAGGAAGGGTTGCAGTGAGTCAGAACTAACTTGACAGGGCATAATTATTATCATTAGCATCCAGTCAATAGATATAAGCTGCAATTGTTCACTTGTCTGCATTGGGTTCATCTCTGTTTACAACATTCCCTGTGAAGTTCCTACAGACCCAATTGCATTATTTTCTCAGTTCTTCTAGCTTTCAAGAAAACCATACTAAGGGCTTTGCTCTGGATGATACAGAACATTACCTGCTATTTGGGAATCTTTTAGTTGTTGGATGTAAAAATGATTCCAAAACATGTAGGCACTTAGTCTTCTCTGAATGCTGGCATTCAGTCTTCTCTGGCCAAAAATAGTGCTTAGTTTTTAGCCTCAACCTCCCATTTCTCTGTCATGCAAATTATAGGTTGGATCACAAGCATAATTCGCTTTAAATTCTAGGAGAAACTTTCTGATGAGAAAACCTTAGTGTGTGTTGGAAGGCTAAAGATGTGGGACAGTTACCTTGGCAGACCGAATGGCTCTAGATTGGTATCATAGGAAAAGGATAATATCAAAAAGCAGAAGGAGATTCAAATCCAGACTGGTGGCTTGTTGAGTTATCTAGGCGAGGATGCTATCTTGAGTTGTGTTCGGCTGTTCACTTGATGGTTTAGGTTGGGATCATTCACCCTAGTGCATCTTGTCCAGCAAATCAGTCCTCTTCTTTCTCTGAAGGTGGGTGGTAAAGGCTGCAAAATAGGTCAAAATGTGAGAGGGTTCTCTTTGCTTTCAGAACCTCAACATGTTGATGCCCTCTGGTGTTGGGAAGTCAGTATTGAAAGTAGTTGGAGTTCTCTGTTTACAAAAAAAAGTAAGGGTTGTAGTTAGTCTCACCTACAGGGGTGGGGTGGGGGAGAAATTCAAAAACAAAACAAAAGAGAACTGGACTGTTAGATTAGAACAGAACATCTCACAAGGGCAAAAAGCCAAATACATTTGCCTCTGGAAAAGATTGGAACTCTAACTTGGCTAGATCCGGTGTTTACTTGGCATCTAGAGGGGAAAAACACCCTTCCTCCCATCTCCTTTTGTTGTTCTGCAAATATTCTGTTAACATGGGGGTTTAATTAAGTAGATATGAGGCTTGTCCTTATTGTAGCCAGCCTTCTTGATTTTATGATAGCTTTTTCAAGGCCATGATTGTTTTTTCCCCCAAAAGGGGCCCTGTCTGTCTGGTGAGATGGATTTGAGGAGGTTGCTCACTTAGTTTACTGGGTGGCCTTGGGCGAGGTATTATCATTAGTCTGCCCTGCAGAATTGTTGTGAGTTAAAATTTAGGGAAGCAGTTGTATATTGTGCTACAGGGGGAAAAGATAATGAGACTGTCATAACAGCTAGAGTCTTGGTGTTTTTTTTTTAATACTGTATATGATAAACAGCCTTTCCCTCAGTCTCAAAGTGAATGATTGCCCTGGGAAAGAAACCTAATTAATTGCTTATGTAACAAAAAAGTGAATAAAGGCACCCTAATATAAAATAAATGTACTGTATATATCCTGTGTTAGCTTTATTGACTAGCATGGAACATTTACCTAAAAAGTACGCCTCAACAGCAGACTGCTCCTATGGTTGGGCCTTTAAGGGACTTGGTAGCTGTGGTCAGGATGAAAGCCTGCCTCCTATGTTTTGTGATGCGGGTGGTGTCTAGGGTCACTGTTTCATATTTTCCATTCTTTTAAGCAGCGCGCGGGTTGTAGAAGTCTGCCTCTCCCAAAAATTAGGGACCTACAGCATGGAGATGTGTCTGTCATTTCAGAACATTCCAGCATTGCAAACTGAACTCCACACGCAATAAGGGACTATATAGACTTTCTTCTTAAATGTTGATTTGGCAGCCTTGGTACTGCACGGATGCCAAAGAGTTCTTCATGATTGCTCCTTATTACTTGAGCGATGTGGGTTTACCCTCAGCAGAGAATAATGCAGATTTTATAAGGCCACCTAACAGTGCTCAGTTTTTGTTCTAGCAGTGGAACTTTGTACAGAGATCTTCATTGGTCATTCCCAATGCCAGGAACAGAAGATACTGTCTCCCATCCTGAGGCAGTTTGAGTTTACAATAAATTGTCTCCTGATGTCTACAAATTGTTATGTTTTTAAGTGTCTTGTGAAGGCTTTGAATGTGAATTTGTTCAGCTGCAGTTAATCTACTGACCAGTTGTGGGCATTCATATGCAAGAGAAGAGTCAAAGATGGGAAACACTGTTGACAGGATGAATATTCTTTTCCCTTAGATATGTTCTTTTTAAAACATAAGGTGGCTTAGAACTAAACAAAATAAAAACAACAGGGTTTGGTGCCACGCAATGTAAAACTTAAGGGGCCAGCACAGATGTACTCAAGAAAGAGTTGAGCTAACCAAAAGAGCTTGGGGATTCATTTACAAACAGACAGAGGGGGTCTGATGGAGATTGCAAGGGAGAAAATTTCAGAGATGTAGGGGTGACCAGGAGTAAATGCAAATAATTCAACATATTTAACCTAATGGCTAAATTTAACATTTCTTGTTCCGTGTTGTCAGGTTGGAACTGACCTACAGTGATCCTCACAGGGCTCTCAAGGCAAATTAGATTTTTAAGGAGTGGCTGTACCCATTCCATTCACCCAGTGAGTTTCCATGGCTGAGCAGGGAATCAAAGCCAGGCCTTTTGAGTCCCTAGTCTGTTGATTTACTCACTACACTATACTGGGTATCCTAGATTTAACATACCTCCCTCATAACTCCTGGAAAAAGAAAATTTGGAACTTAGCTGGGAGAAAACCCTTTAATAATAAACAGACTGGACTGATGTTAAGGGAAACTGGCCTTGTGGATTTTACAGTGCTTTAGGGCAGTTTTCTTCAAAGACCATTAAATCTGTCACCATCCTTGATTCTCATTCCTGGTTTATTTGCTCACTGCCCAGTTCTTGTGTCTTTTTTTTTTTTTTGTATTACTGTCAAACTGTTTTTCTCACCTTGCAAAATAAATACTGGACGTCAGATGAAATTCAAAAGACCCCTACAATTGAGTTCTAAAAACGTTATCCTGCAATCTTGATAAGAGTTTACACCATTGTGGGCATTGTGCTGGGAAACAAGTTTACACAGGTTCATACAGTGGGGTCTTGAAATCTCTATATACTTTGGATCCTTTCCCAAACCACTACTCATAGGGCTGGCCAAAGTCTTGGTTACTTAGTGAGAAGGGAACGCTTTCTCATCACAGGTGGAACAGCCGGCTACTCTGATGGTGGTGTTCTTGGGTAAAGGGAGGGAGGGAGTTCCACTGCACAGACAGTGTCCCTGTTGTTGTTTTTCTTCTCCTCTATCCTGTGATTGCACATAAGAATTCTAACACTTGGTCTCTTTTGTGCTTTGCCCTCCAGGCTGCCACACCTTGCATGCCTGCCAGCAATCATGAGCCGGTAAGTGACCCATTTCCTCTTTTGCTTTGGTTGTTGCTTTCTAACCTCTGTTGTTGCTGCTGGTGAAGGCAATTTGAGCATAGGCTGCAGAAGAGTGGGCAGGTGGGGCGAGGGAAAAAACAAGCCCAAGAGATGAAGATAGCAGGAGTTCAAAAGCTGTGACAGGGAGCAATGGACTGAATTGCACACACACACACATATGCACCCCCTGGTGATTGCCTTTGATGTCCTTTCTTTTGAGTAGCTTGTCTGAGTGGTACCAAAATATGCTTGACAGATGGGGGGGGGATGGAGATTAAACAATGTGAGCAAAAGTAAAATTTGGCTGTTTGTAAGAATGATTTGTAAGAGAAGAAGAGGACGACAGAGGAGGAGATGGTTGGACAGTGTCATCGAAGCGACCAACATGAATTTGACCTAGCTCTGGGAGGAGTGGAAAACAGGAGGGCCTGCTGTGCTCTGGTCCATGGGGCCACGAGGAGTCGGACATGACTAAATGACTAAACAACAACAAGAATGATACATCCTTCATTCACAGAAAAGGAAAGGAATAAATGAGGAATTCTGTACATATATTTTAATTAAATGGACTTGTTTGTATTCTTGTGAACTTCTGAGTAAATGTGCATACAATAAGATGTACATTTTACAGATTTTCTTTCAGAGAAAAAAGAAGAAGAAAATGTAGCTCTCTAGATAAGAATTAAGACTTTGTTTTCCTTCTGGAATTGTCTCAGCTCCAGTCATCCAAGGATGATGGGAGTTATAATCCTGTACATCTGTAGGATGCTGGGTGTGGGGACATCAGGCATATATAAAAAACATGAATCCGGACATGACATTAGAGCTGTAAGAAATTGATCGACAATACTTCTAATTGTGGCACACAATTACAGTGGTACCTCACTAGACGACAACCTTGTAAAATGACGAATCCGCATGACGATGAGGTTTTGCAATCGCTATAGTGATTCGCAAAACAGTCATTCCAATGGGCGATTTTCGCTGGACTATGATTTGGTCCGTGCTTCGTGGACTGTTTTTTCGCAAGACTATGATTTTTACAGCTGATTGGCGGCTTCGCAAAATGGCTTCCCTATGTTTTCGGGACCCATGCTTCACAGGACAACCATTTTAACAACTGATCGGTGCTTGCAAAATGGCTTCCCTATGGGCGATCTTCACAGGATGACGATGTATTTTCCCCATTGGAACGCATTAAACGGGTTTTAATGCATTCCAATGGGGAAATGGTTTTCGCATGACGATGATTTCGCTAAACAGCAATTTCTATGGAACGGATTAACATCATCATGCGGGGCCCCACTGTATGTATTTTTCCCCTCCCTTCAACCTTTGTGATAAAAAGACTGTCTCCTGAGTACTGCTGAAACACGTGCAAACTAGACATGAGAAGAAATATAAAAACAAATTGGGATATTCAACTAATATCCCTGATTCAACAGATATTTGTTGCTTCATATTCTTGGGGTCCAGAGACCCCGATGAATATGAAGCAATGAATATAATCCTTTTATATTCATCCCTTTGTCTACCCCTATCAGCTTATGCCCCCCACAGATCAACTGTTCCTTAGGGGCATAAGCAGCGAGGGATTTTCCCCTCAGGTGGCTTGCTAAAGCCTGCCCAAAGGGAACCCCACCCCCGGGGCTGGGGGATGGCTTCGGTCCCCCTTTCCTTCTCTTCCTATGTCACATGGCATAGGAAGGCTGTGGGGGCCAGACCTTTTTTTTAAAAGATGGCCTCACAGATTGTCTTAAAAAATATGACCTACGAACTGCTGAATTGATTTGTGTTTCGTTTGGTCCCCCTTTCCTTTTCTTCCTATGCCACATGGCGTAGGAAGGCTGTGGGGGCCGGGCCTTTTTTTTTAAAGATAGCCTCACAGATTGTCTTAAAAATATGACCCAACGAACTGCTGAATTGATTTGTGTTTCGTTGGGCACTGGGAGACAATTTGTGCTTCATGGGTCATCAGGTTTGATGACCCATGAACCAAGATGAGGCCCCATTTTGGAGCTTCCTTCCCATCTTGACTGCACACTCTATCTCTCTAACCCAGGTTTTTAGACAGGTTAGTAAGAAAACATTTGAATCCATTTATGTACTGCAAATAAACTTTTGTATGTTTCTCTATTTGTTTTGAGCATTTGTATTCCACTCTTCAGCTCCAGGCACTCCCAGAGAAGCTCACAAAAATTTCAAAGAACCATAAAAACAACAATAAAGCATAAAACAGAGGAGTGGCAATAGGAAGAAATTTAAAACAGAGACAGTGGAGTGTTTCAGACACAATTATTCCCCCCCCCCTCCTTGTTGTCCTTTGGCTGGCAGGCTTAAGAAAATAAATTCAAGCAGACTTTTTGGCAACTGACTGGTTTACTGAGGAAGGGACTTCTTACCCTTTGGGTGCTGTATTTTCCTTAATGGAGTTATTTTAAAGTGTGTTTTCTAATTATTTTGAACGGTACCTTTAATTCTGTTTTAATCTTTGATCTCGTGTTTTCTTTTAGTCTCCATTTTGTTCAATATTTCCATAAGTCACTCTGAGGCCCACTGTAGGAAGAAGGGTAGGGAAAAATAAAATAAAATAAAAGGACAATCAGTGGGACCAGATAATACCTGGGTACTCCCTTGACTCTTTACTCCTGCTTTCCTGGGCATCAATCCTAACCTAAAACAGAGTGTGTGTTTCACCATACTTTAGATCTTGCGTCTCCCTTTAGGAAGGCTGGGCCCTGGTATGTGTGGGTACATAAAGAGTCCAAATGCTGTGTCCCTATCTATAGATTGAGGCTTCAGGTCTTTTAGCATGGCTAGCATGATTTAAGAGGGGCGGAAGGGGAGGTTCAAGGGTGAACTCTTGACCCAACAGTCTTTCCTGCCCTATATTTACTCTGTTAAATGTGAGTGTATTAATTGGGATCATTAACTGGTGACAAAGAGACAACTGGATCACTGCCAGCTGAGAATCTTGAGGAAAGGCATGACTAAGGTGGGTCCACCTACCTACCTACCTAGTTAGCAAGATATCTACTCATCTGACTAGCTGTCTAATTATCCATAGGACTATAGAGCTATTAGTTTTGACATCACCCCTCCAGTATCAGAGACAGCTTGCAATAAAACCATGAACACAACAAAATACAAGAATCACAAACTAAAGCTAAAACTGAACTCACACGATCTCTTGTGTTCCTCATCTTTTATAGCTCCCATCAGTCATCAGGTTCTGGAATGGGGGACTTTCTACAGCTTGGGACATGATGTCAGTCCAGTTAGAAAAATATTGTTGACAGTTGACTCATATTTTGGGTTATCGTCATAATTTTCTCACTGTGAAATTTAGTTCATACTGAAGTGAGAGGTAGACATGATTCTGTATGTTTGCAGAGGCCCCCCTCTGTGTTACGATGTGTAAACAGAGCTGCTACAGAAGCCCCCTCCCTGTCTACTCACCCATCAGACAGTGAAACCAGCTGAGATGGGGGCTGCTGCAGAGCTGGAGAGAGCCAGGGCTAGCCGTATCACCACCTCTCTTGGAGATGAGAACAGACATCTGAAACTTAATGAGAGACAGAAGATGTTTTTTTAAAAAACCCTCCATACTGACATCTTGTTCTGGAGTAGAAAAGTGCTTAAAAAAAAAACCGTCTTCACATTGTCAAATCCTCTGTTGCCTGAAAGGTTTCCCAGCCATTGTGTAACCTTAGGGTTGAAGTCTTATATTCATGAGCTCCTGGCCATGCAAGGCCAGAAAATGATATCTTGCCATGGCTGGGTTATTTTTTCTATAATGTGAGATTGTTGGAGAGAATGCTGCATGTAAAGGTTCCTCCCCATGCTAACTGGCCTCATATTCAAATAGCAGGCAGTACCACCTATCTGTATAATCCTGAGGTTCAGTTATGAATATCCCCATATTTAGAGTTTGTACTATGAGTTGGTATCTGGAAATCACACTTTGTAGGCTGCAGATGTGATAGCTGGTGTGTACAATTGGCTTGGGAAGAATAAACAAGGGGCTTAGAAATGTGTGTCTTTGACCAGCAGTCCAGACTATAGTTGGGTGTTAGAAAACTGAATGTGGTGATGTCTGAAGAAACTGTGTCTGCCATGTCAGAAATGAACATTGCTTTGCTAAGTGTAATCATAGGAAGAGGTTTTGCACAAATGCAGACATTTATATTTGCATAGTGTAAATCTTGCGGTTGTGGGGGGAAACCTGCAAAGATTATTTGTTTTGCCAAAAGGCAGAGGGCAGAAACTAAAGTTGTTGCAAAAATTTGCAAGTTTGTTAAGGCACTTTATGATATTGGATATTGAAAAAGCCGTAACAAATAGGGTTGCTTGAGCTCTTATTTGCCGTTTGGATCACATCAAATGACATATTATACCTCTATCCAAACCCAATCAACCCTATTTAGTCCACACTAGAGATGGGGATATTCGTAATTGTTTACAAATATGAATATTCCATTCCCAGCTACAACTAATGTGGGTCCAACCCCCGGAACTGGCCCATCCAGTCATGCGCTACCGTGCCACCAGCGCCCCGCTCTTCCTGCCAATTGTTGAAGTAGTTCCTCCATCTCCCTGCCTGGCAATCCAGACAAAAGGTGGGATGACAACTGTCCCCGCATGGCTGCTGAGTGTGGCCAACTGAGCAGGGAGACAGAGGAGCTTCTTTTGCGATTGGCGGGACGACAGCGACGCTGGCAGCATGTTAACATGTGAGTGGACAGGCTGGTTTCGGGGGCCAGACCCACATTTGTTGCAGTTGGGACTGGGATATTCGTATTTGTAAACAAATACAAATATCCCCATCTCTAGCCCACACCACCCCCCTTCCAAAAGATCCAGTGTAGTTACACCCTGAGTGAACTAATCTGCAAGTTTCTGGAAGTAAGTGAAACTCATGTTGTGACACCACCACAGAGACAGCGCTTAAGGAGTTTCCTCTTCTTCCTATAGGATATCTGCCACATCTGTTTTGGCTCTGAGAAATCAGAAGCAGAGTGTAGCTTGTCATAAGCAATAAATAGTGTCTGGATCAGATTTGGCCTTGTGATATTGGTTAACTCCTGTGTTGCCAGTCCGGAGATAATGTGGAGGGAATGGCAGCTGTGGTCCTGGAAATGGCTATCTCTGCACTGGAAGTAGTTTGCCCCTTCAGCCAGGACAAAGAGCTTGTGGGGCCCCCACATTGTTCCCCATTTTGCCACGTCTTTCAGCACCCACATCAATCACATTCAGGTTTAGAATTATTTCAGAAACCTCAGTGGAACAGTTTCAGCTAAGTCCTTAAACCAGGGGTGCATGAAGAAGTATGCTGTCTTTTGTCTGATCCACTCTTAAACTTTAGTAGCATGTGAATAGAAAATATTGTTCACTGACTCTAAAACATTACTGCATTTTTGTAATGGCTTGTTTTGTTGGTTATTGTCCCACAGGTAACTAGTTATGGGTAGCTATATTGCTTGTAACTAATTACTTCTAGGATGTGCCCCCCCATACACACTGATCTCATCTGATTCCAGAAACCAAGCAGGATTGGGCCTGGCTAATATTTGAATGGGAAATACCCAGGGAGTACCAGATATCTCCCAATGGAGCTTGGAGATAGTTCTGGCTGAAACCAGAGAGAGATACCGCCATTCAGAGTTGACAGTACTGGGTTTGATGGATCAATGGTGTGAGTCAGTATATATGGCAGCTTCTGTGCTCCCATCTCATGTAACTGAATACAGTTGTGCTGGATGCATAGTGCTGGTGAACATTCCATCCTAGCCAAGGACTCTGGAGCAGGAAGACTGTAAAAAACATAAAATATTGATCCAAATGTGTTTTTTTTTGGATTGTACAGTAATTGCCATCTTTAATGCCCCATGGCCACTATTTCAGACCATGAGCAGTCTACTTTGGGTGACATTTGGGTCTACTGCAAATTCACATCAGCCTGCCAAAATCTGCAAATTAGAAGAAACCTTTGCATCTCCACTGTGCCCATATACGGAGTCATTTCTCCTACCTTCTTCCGGTTCTTAGAATGATCTTTCTGCATCCAGACATGTCTGAGGGGTACAATCCCTGTTTCTTGTATTCTCTCCCCTACAGTCCCCATCCAGCACTGTTTTCCAGTTCAGAAAAACCTCTCTAGCAGATGTTCTTGGGGCTTTGTCCTTATCTCTCAAATCATTTATTTTTGATCCTTTTCCTGGAAATCTCTCATTGGAAGCCAGAATTTGTGAGGTTGGGAGGCACCATTGACATCTATTTCAAAGGTTTGGAAAACCTGAGATCCCATGAAAGAGGTACACAAATTTCAAAGAAATTCTGTCTGTGAAAAAGTCACTGTGTTCCCACTGCACTGAAAAAAAACAAGTACAGTATCATGAGACAGAGGGAGACATGCCCTCTTTCCATACATCACACAACACCTATGGTAGCAACCCTAGGTGCTAGGACCCTGGAAAATACCATTTTCCCAGAAGGCTGACTGTGTTTCTCAGAAGTTCTGTCACCTGAGATGTTGTCATAGTAATTTTTGTTCAAGTGCCAGGGAAGAGGATGAAGAGAGGTTTCCTCCCCGCTCCCCATAGCAGCAACCAGGTAGAGGTAGGAGGGAGAGTGTTCTGCTCCAACTCAGATTAAAATCTGAGCAACAGAACAACTTGGAACTCACTGCTCATCTTGCAGTTAAAGTTGAGCACTGTGGTCTCCAGTATTTGCATTCTGAGCCAAGGAAATACAATTTCAGCAATATCTCTAATTGTAGTGCAGTTCTATTACATATAGTATTGAGGCAGGGGCTGCTGTAGATTTGTGGGGCCCAAAGGGGACAAGAAGAACAAAAAGAGCCAACTTCACCAACATTCTGCTTGCAATTGAAGCTCATAAACTCTCTCATGGCAGTTGCCATAGTCAGTCCTCCTCTCCTGGCAAGCAAGAAACCCAGGTTGATGAGGACAAGTTCCATAGCCCTCTTCCCATTGGTAAGGAAAAAGGAAGGCAGTGGTGTGATGGATCAACCATCATGCTTGGCTTCTTAGAAGCTTAAAAGAAGTGGCACATAACAGACACAAGCCCCCAGAAGGAGGAGGAGGAGGAGGAGGAGGAGAAGGAGGAGAAGGAGACCTGTCCTTACAGTTATCGTAGGCTTGTAAATGCCTGGAACAGTTCCAAAGATTAATGCAAAGTAGGGTCAAACTAGCCAATATGCTGAACAGATTTTTGAAAGAGGTGATCCTTCAAGTAGTGAAATGCATTGTTGTTTGTCACAGTGGGTGATCACAATGGATGATTTTTCTCACCTCTGCATCTTGCTTTTAGCTTGCTTGTTATTGGTTAGTGAAAAATAAACATGAGTTTAATCTACAGTTCAAATTTCTAAGGCACATATATGTGAGGAGATGCTGTTGTGGGAGGTGAAATTGTTTCAGCAGAGGAAATGTTCATTTCCATTAGTGTCTAGTTGGATCATGATATAAGCCTGCCTACTACTACCTCTGGCCTCACACAGGTGAAGATGCTAGCTCATGCCAACAATGGCACCTGAGGAACATCACTGATTCCAATGTTCTGGCAGGCAATGCCTCCCTTGCCACCACCTAGTGGTGGGAGAAATGACTTTATGGACTGAACAAAATTTGTTTAGTCCTGAGGAACATCACTGATTCTCAGTGTTCTGGCAGGCAATGCCCCCCTTGCCACCACCTAGTGGTGGGAGAAACGACTTTATGGACTGAACAAAATTTGTTTAGCTACAATGGATTGCTCTCCCCAAATGGTAGTTCCTTTCAAGAAGGCCACGAACAAGGCATAATGGAAAGAACGTCACTCTTTTTATTCCTCCTCCTCCTCGTACTACAATCAAAGGTGCACTGCCTCTGAGCATGTTTACTTCCAGTGGCTCTTCTCATCGCAATAGCAGCTGAACAGAACACTCCTATACAGAGCGAGCATCCCTTTGATTACGATATGTTGGTGATAGACAGTAAGAGAGCCCCAATCCAGAATATGAATTAAAATTGTTCTGTCCTGTTCCTAGAATCTTCACCCAGACATCATGGGTGCTTGTCTCAGGACTTATGACCATATGACCCTGTAAAACAGATGAAACCCAGTTCCCATTTTTCTATTCTGGTAACTCTGCATATATGTGCCTGTATTCTCTGTCTGTGATGCTAAGGTCTGGAGCCTTTGAAACATCTTGTGATCCTTTGTCAGAAATCATTGGCTTGGGTAACTTGCTTGTTGGCACACAGAGCCCTGTCTTCTTGGGCCATTCAGAGATTCACCCTTGCACAGACGCAACCAGCCTGGTTAGCATTAAGAGAGGTGGGTTTACAGATGTATCCATAACAAGCCCTGCCAAATCATGAAGTGCCCTGGGTATCTTCATCTCCCCTGGGTACAATAGGGCATTTTGACTCTCTGTTTTCCAGCTCCTGCTACCAGCTGCTCTGTAAGACTGTTTTCACAAGTGGTCTGCTTCTTGTTATCTTAGTACACAGATTAATCTCTGTGCACACACTGGCATATTTGGATGGTAAACATAACAGACGTGGGTCCCCGGGAGAGCTTCCCAGTCTGACCATGGACGTTTATCTGTGGAAGGCACACAGTCTGATCTCTTAGGGACCGTTGTTGTGGGTTTATCAAGGAAGCTGTGGGGCATGCTAGAAGCCAAGAGACTCATGCCTGTGGCAGGACATCATGCCCGCTCTACCCTGCACTCTGGAAAAGAAAGACTGTGCCAGGTTCAGAGTTCTTTTCCTACAGTTTGGTAGGCATGGGCAGTAGCTTCCAGCAGGAGGTATTTAGAAATGTATAACTCAGTCTGACCTGTCTATCGGGAAATGCAAAATAACCAGAAATGCAAAATAACTACAACACCCCTCATCCCTCATTGCTGACTGTGCTGCTAGGGCTGATGGATGTAGGAGTCTGCCAACGTTTGGAAGGACATATATTCCCTGCTTTGAAGCGTCCCTCAGGAACCGTCTTTAGCAAATGGTCTGTCTTTTCTTCCTGCATATGTCCTCTCACCACAGTCACTCACCTTTCTTGTTGTTCAGTTTCTGCCTGTTCCTCATTTGCCTGGAAGCTCCTTAGTTAGGTGAAGATTGAGACTGTCTTGTGCCAAGTTCTGAGCTTTGATTTGTCATGAGTACTTCCTCTCAGCAGAGACCTGAGAATTATCTCTTCTCAGAATGAGGTTTGTGTTTTTCAACCAAAGGATTATTGGCTGAAATTCTGTTGCTTAATTATGCCTGTGGAAGGCAAACAATATAACATCCAATCACTACTTGCTGGCAGTTAACATGTCATTGGGACATGTATGTCTGCTAGCTTGTCACATGCTTAAGAATCCCAGAAGACTTGTTAATTGCCCGTTAGAAATGACGGAGTGTTACACCATATGCCTTCCACTTATGTAATTAAGCAACAGGACTTCAACCATTGTGTGGAAAACATTGGCCAAATCTTATTGCTTCTTAGCAGAATAATAGGTCTGGGTCCTATCAGAAGTAAATGAACTTGGGGACAAGTTTTACATGAAAATTATTTAAAGTGAAAATTAATGCTTAAATAAAATGTGTGAAAAGGCACAAGATATTTTGCTGCATGGAAACACAGAAGCAATATGAGAACTAAGAAAGAATGCTTGAATCTCTTAGAAAAACAAAACAGACTTTGATAAAATTGCTGGAAGCAACATCTTATAAAAGATACAAAACTAACATACAAGAGGCTATAAGACTTAGGGATACCAGATAGTGGCTGGGAATACTGTTGAAACAAACATTCCAGAGGTTTTATTTTAAATATTTGCAACAAAGCATCATAGCCAGCACTCTGACAGAGTAGTGACGGAAAACAGTGGTCTGTTGTAAGCATCCAAACAGCCTTAGGTATAGTTGGTGTTTCATTACTGTTGGCCTGGAGAGGAACATCTGTCTCCAGCAGCACCAATCCTTGCTGCTTGTGTTGTTTATAGTTGCTTAAGCAGCCTTGGGAAGAGCACCAGCTTTTATGGCTGACTCAAGAGAGAGATGCGTTGGGTTCCTTCCTTAACTTCTCTTTGTAATCAAAACTCAGGTGCTAACTGAACAACAATTAATGGACCAGAGAAGGTTTATCATCTGGAGTAAAGTATTTTCAGAACTGGAATTGCAAGAACTAGGAAATATGGCAAAAGAAAAATCAACACAGAATGATGACCATAGTATGGAATACAAATGGAAGGTAGAGGTAGATGCAATAGTGGAAGAAAACATATCAGTAGAGGAACAACTTATTGAACAACCTAGAAATTATGAATTGAGAGAAGGACAAACATTACTGAGGGAAAAAATAGTAAACCATATTAGTCAGAACACAGAAAGACAAAGGCTCCCCAGTTTGCACCAGTTACAAACCAGTAAAATATCTACTGAATGATGCAAATGAACAATCCCAACCAACATGCTAAAGAAAACAAACCAGCTCATGCATAGCACAGCTACCATAGTAACCATAGAACTTGGTAACAAGCTGCAAAAAACGCAGCAAACTCCTGGCACGCCAAAATGGAAAATTCATCAGGAAAGAAAAATAAACAAATTACGTGCAGACATTAGCAACTTAAAACACTTGAAAGATTCAAAACTTAAAAATGAAAAAGTAAAAGCCAGACTATGCAAAATATATGACCTAGAAAGGAAAACAATTGTTGAAACTATGGAAGAATTAAAACAACGGATAACAGGTACAGAAAAAAAGAGAAAGATTTGATGGATGTTTGAAACAATATAGAGAAAACAGGCAATTTCAAAATAACCAATGATTATTCTATACATCACTAGGAGAAAATGCAGAGCAAAAGAAATAAGGCCCATGTAAAGATGATGCTTTAGAATTCCAGAAAGAAATATGGGAAAACCCAATCAAACATAACAAAAACGCCTCATGGATTAAAGATATCTGTAAAGAAACTCAAAGAAAACAAATTTATGATATTGCTTAGAAAAACTGAATAACAACTGAAATGATTAAGAGGCAAGTAAAGGCTGTGAAAAAAATGGAGTGCAACTGATCCAGATGAGCTGCACGGATTTTGCTTGAAGGTTCACACCATCAGAGCTACAAAAAACAGCAATATTAGGAACAGCACTAGTACTGTGCCGATATGGTTAAAACTGGTATCTGTTATATAATACCAGTCAATGTTTTTATAGTTTTTATTGTGCCTGGTGTTTTTTAACAAGAAGAAGAAGAAGAAGAATTTTGATTGACAGTGTCTGCTATTTCTGAAAAATGACGATAACTATGATGATAGGCCATCAAGCCTATTCCAAATTACAGCAATTTCCATGGGTTTCTAGGTAGAGAGTACTCAGAAGTAGTTTACTATTTCTTTCTTCTGGGGGCGCCCTGGGACTGTGCAGCTTGTCCAAGGCCACCCAGGGTCGCTCTTATTGCACGAGGCACTTTGGGGAATCGAACCCCTTAGGTTTTGACCCCACAGCTAGATACCTAACTCAGATACCAGCCAGCCTGAGCTACCTATATGCACTAGTAGAAAACAAAGCAAAACAGACAGTATTGTATTAAAAACACAGTGAAGTAAAAGTACAGGTCAAGAAAGAGGAAACAAAATTGTTCAGCAGCAACACACGACCAATCACAAACAACAAACAAACAAACTCAAAAACAAAAGCATTGTAAGAATACTGTAATATGTTTGCTTCAGTGCAAGCATTCCTGGATCCAATCCACTTCGTTGGATACTCTGAAGAAGTGGGTTATCTCTCTGAAAGCTAACACTGAAGTAAATTTATTGGTATTAAAGGTGTTGCAATGCTTTTTTTCTTTTAGCAGTCAAGCAGATGACCATGGCTACCTCTCTGAAAAATGGTTCAGTCAGTTGTCTCTGAAATCCCTTTGAAATAAAATGGTCTTAAATGCCTTTTGAAAAGTCTGAAGAGGAACCACCTTCAGGATCTGCTGAGGGGAGAATCCCACAGAATGAACACCATAATGGTCAATCCCCATGTGGTAATCAATCAGTTCTCTAGTTCCTCCTTGTAAGTAATCCAGAAACACATGCCAGATGCTAGGTGAAATATGCAGAGTACATTGTTCAAACATTGTGATTCAGACAGTTGGCATGTGTAAGTATCCTCAGTTTTTTATGTAAAATAGGGGATTTTTGTTTGTGGTTTTTATTTTTATTGTTTGGAAGTCAACATAACTGTAGTAAAATAATTTGGTTTCTTTATCAGAAAACCATTGTTTGGTGCCATGCCATTCAAGTGGCTTTGAAATGAATGTTGAGTGACATGATGAAACCAACACAATTATAAACTGCAACTAAACTTTCCAAAGTGATGTTTATTATTCAAGAAGAGGGTGATTTTGAATAGACTTTGGCCAACTATTTAATGACTGTGGAAATCAGTACACAGCTTCGTGTATCTTCCAGAAGCCACATGGACATATACATTTGTGGCTTAAAATTGAGACAGGCTGTCAGTTCATCCAGATTCCACTCCGGCACTATCGGTTCTGACTATCAGTGGCTTTTCCAGACCTTGGGAGATCTTTTAGCAGCTGTCCCTAGAGAATCCTTTAATGTGAGACACTGGAGATTGAACCTGGGACCTTCTGCATGTAAATGATGTGCTCTGTCACTGAGCTAAGAAGAGAGAGATGTTTGTTTATTCCTGGAACAGGTTAAATATGCTGCCTCTGAGCTCCAGCAGAACAACGTCTGCCAAAGAAGCAACTGTATAGTAGTGTATAGAGTCTGGACACAAGCGCAAGCCGAGCTAAATTATCCCATCCATTTAAAAAGCTGCACGCAGTTACAACTGTGCAGTTTAGTAATGAGTAACAGAAGCTTCAAGCTTCTGTTATTTCTCTGTGAGTGAAATAATTATGCCATTTTTTTCCTAATGGGAAAAAAAAGGGAAACTGCCATTTTGTTTGTGGGTTGAAAATTACCACGTGAGATCTGGGGTGCAGAGAAGCAAGAGAGGGTTATGGGCTGCAGAGAAAAGCAAAGTAAAAAAAGGGTGGCAATTTCTGCAGAATAAGGAGAGAGACAAAAGGAAATAATTGAGAACTGGGAGCAGAGGCATGTGGAGTGCGGGCCATAATGGCATGAGATTCTGAGAGTTTTCTTCAAGAAAGCAACTTCTCCATGCTCACGGGAAGAGGAAAAAGAGATGCAGAGAGGCGGAGGTTCAGAGACCTATGTAGATGCCTTGCAGGGCATATTGTGGAGCACAGAGGGAAAAAGAAGATTATTTATTATCATAATCACCACCATAATTTTATTAGTTATTTAACCAGTTTGTTCAGTTTATACAACTCAACTTACAATGTCTAAAAGAGAAATAAGAGCTGACAGAGAAAGAACTGAATAGAGCTAAAGTGGCAACCAAAATTGCCTTTTCACAGTTAACATACTACTGAGGCTTGAGTTAATAAAACTTTAAAAGAGGTTCCCCAAGCGATTTATTGTACACTAAACATTAACTTCCTCTTTGTCCATTAAAATTCAACTTTGTTACCATCTGAAGAGCCTAGTCCACTTTGCAGGGATCCCTAATCTTTTGAATCTCTTTTAATAAATTTTGGGAATGGAAGTGGATTGTGCGAACATTCCCTGGGAATATGAAATTTTGTGTTATCGATATGTAGGGGATTTTGAACCTCAACTTAATCCTCACACTTGCCTTATTTCTCTCCCCCATACAGCCATCCAGTGAGGAGAGCCCTGCGAAGCATGTAGACACTCCGGTAAGTAAACTATGATTTGCCTCTGTTATAGTGAAGTTCATGTACAAGAGGAGCAAGTATCCTGTTCTCCTCCTCCTTATTGTTGAATGTCCCATCTAATCTGTGCAGTCTCCATCTTCCCATTCTCAGTTTCCTTGCAAATCTCTCAGTCAGTTTCATATAGATTTCCTCAAATATAAACATAATCATGCGTCATCAAGGCAATTCTGACTTACGGTGACCCTTTTCAGGGGTTTCTAGGTAGAAAATACTCAGAGGTGATTTACCATTCCAACCACAGAACGCTACTCCTGTCCTCTGAAGATGCCGGCCACAGAGACTGGTGAAATGTTAGGAAGAACGACCTTCAGGACACGGCTTAAGAGCCCCAAAAACCCACAACAGCCATTAGATCCTGGCTGTGAAAGCCTTCGCGAATACATTGATTTACCATTCCCTTCTTCTTGGGGTGCCCTGGGACTGTGCAGCTTGCCCAAGGCCATATAGGCTGGCTCTTCCCAGGATCACAATGGAGAATAGAACTCCCAGCCCCTGGGACCATAACCAGATGCCTAACTTACTAAGCATACATCACCAAAATGTCACACCTACGAGTAGAAGATAGCCTTCGATTCATCGGGCCATTACAGAGCTGGCAGGGGAATAGAAGAGACATAAATCCACCAATCCATGGGACCCTATGGATCATTGAGTCCAGCTCCTGTCAAGGAGGCACCGTGGGGGAATTGAACTCCCAACCTCTGGCTCCTCAGCCAGAGACCTAAACCTCTGAGCTGTCCAGCAGTTCCAAAATCTGTGACCAGATAGGCCAAGTTTCCTTATAATTCCTTACAGGTTTACAAATACCACACAGCTTTTCTTTCTTTTTGCTCATGCCCTATCATATCCCTTGTCCATTTACCAATACCAGTAGATCTTATTTTTTTAAGCAAGAGCTTGTTCAGGCCTGTGTAACCAAACCTTTACTCAAATATCTGTCACTAAGCACTGTTATCAAGTCAGGTTTGGTATCTTTGGCTTTCATATGTTTTTGGAGGGCAGCTCCCATAATTCCACACCATTTGTTGATCCAAGCTAGAACTGAGCTTGGTAAAAAAAATATATCTGGAGTGGTACACCTGCCCTACCTCTTTGCTAGGTAATCACAAGAAGAAGAATTCAGAAGGGGGATCCTTAAACTGGGTCACAGACTCTCAGTGTTGTGTAACTCAGCTTAAAACTGCTTCAGATTCCTTCAGGTCAAGACTAGATTCAGTGTGCATGGCCTTAGTTTAAGTGAGTTGACTTTGCAGCAGACAGGCGTGTGTACAGAAAGGGCTTTGATGAGTTGCAACCACATTATGTTCTGAGTTACTCATAAGGCCACTTCTGTATGTCCAAATGGAGCAACAAAGGCAGCTGTCTATATCACACCAATGGATGCTGCCTAGTCAAGATGTACACTGATTTGGGAGAAGGACAGCCTGGAAATAATGCCCTAGTTCTAATAATATTAGTATTAGAATAGCTACTCTTGCATAGTCAGGAGGACAAGCAACTGGATGCATTTAATTGTCTAAAAATAGCATTCTCATGATAATGTTAAAGTGACCCTTTCAGAATGTTACTTTTAGAAAAATTAGATGCATCCCTTTCTTAATCATGTTTAATGCAAGAATAAAAATTTTAACATTAATATGTTATAATGTTTTATTTCTAAGCTGAGGGGATAAACTTGAATTCTTGAGTAACAGCTGCCAGTGATCTCTCTCTCTCTCTCTCTCTCTCTCTCTCTCTGTGTGTGTGTGTGTGTGTGTGTGTGTGTGTGTCCATGAGCAAAATAAGAAGAAATCAGGGGGGACATAATATTTCTGGGAAATTAAACGACATTGGAAAATGTCAGAAAGCAGGTTTTCTTCTTGTCTCTCATAGCATGAATAGAAAAGAATTAAAAACTGTCAGTTGAGGAATGTCAAACAAAAACTTGCTCCCAAGTCCCCCAAAGAGTGTAATGTTCTGAAGCAACAAGGAAATGTATGGTCTGTTCTTGGTCAGTTTAAAGAAGGCGGGAAATAGCTGCGCATGTTTGTGAAACTGTACAGCTTCTTATTCTGTAGAGCTCCTGATAATATGTTCCATTGTTATAAAGCAGAAGAAAACAGGAGAAAGCCTACACCAAATCACCAAGGTGGAGGACATTGTAAACCATTTTTCCAGTGCCCAACAATGCAGTAAAATTGTCTGAAAGCAGCTGCTAGCAGAGTTGCTCTTGATCAGAGAACAATTCTGCCTACTCAGGAGCAGGGCTTAATCTGGTATTTTGTTTTCATCCGCCAGTCCATTTGCCAAATGAAAATTTGGAGCATTTTTTCTACCTTAAGGACCAAGTCCTGCATTGATCCTCATGATGTCTAAAAGATACTGCTCATCTTTCATGTTGTTCTCGGTCCTTTTTCTGAGTTGGTACATCCTTTTTTCTCTCCTATACCCTTGGTTAGTTTTTTTAGGTGCCACTTTGTACTGGGGCAAATGTGCTATGTATAGTGCTTCCTAAGCATTTGACCGCTAGTGTAACCTGGGAACCAGGAAGCAATAGTCATGAAAGCATTCTGGCTGGACACACAATTAGAATGCTGTGTAGTCCTGTTCCCCCTCCCCTGCTGTCATGTCCATCTGCATTCCCCCCATTTGTGGGATTTTTAAAAAAGAGATCCAGGGACATACAAGTACAGTGGTACCTCGCAAGATGATTACCCCGCAAAATGTTTTTTCCTATGGGGGATTTCGCTGGACGATGATTTGGTCCGTGCTTTGCAGACCGTTTTTTCGCAAGACGATGATTTTTACAGCTGATCGGCGGCTTCGCAAAATCGCTTCCCTGTGAGCGATCTTTGCAAAATGGGTGTTTTTGGGACCGATGCTTCATAAGACAGTGATTTTTACAGCTGATTGGTGCTGATTGGTGATTTTTGCTGGACGATGACTATTTTCCCCATTGGAACACATTAAACAGGTTTCAATACATTCCAATGGGGAAACATTTTTCGCTAGAAGATGTTTTCACAAGACAGCGATTTCAATGGAATGGATTAACATAGTCTAGTGAGGCACCACTGTAATGTCACAGGCCTGGGGACCAAGCAGATTGAAATGTCTCCTAAAAGTTGTAGGCATCTGAGCCCTGATCTCTAAGTATATGAGTCGCAGTAAATGCTGTTCTGTTCCAGCACGAAGTGAGAAAAAAAGGAAACGAAACAATGTAGAACAAATTCTTCATCTGGATACCTCAGTCATTAGCACAGTAACGAGGGTCCAGTTTGGATTGCCAAAATGGTAATCCAGTGGTATCTTGATAAAAATGCTAGCAGCGGAGTGATCTTACTTGGGAGTGAGTTACAATACATGATTCTTGCTAACAAACCAGAAGTCACACAGGCAAATTCAGGGTCTAACTCAGTAATTAGCCTTGTACTGAATCATACATTTTATTTCTTGCTCCAGTGAAGAGAAGGTCTGCTTGACACATCTCTCTCTCTCTCTCTCTCTCTCTCTCTCTTTCTCTCCGTTGTGTTTGTGTATTGTTTGGAAATGTTGGTCATATTAAGTTGCATTTATGCAGTTCTGTATTTAGAAAGCACTGCATCAGTGTGCCGTTCAACTCTTTAATCTGATATACAGTATAACCAAACAGTATTTGTCTTTAATGCCTTGATATCAAAAAGTGATTGAAAGCTGCTAGCTAACAAGCTGGGCTTCTCAGCTTATTCACTGTCATATATAATTGTACCCACAAAAGGTCTGTTTGCACATGCATTGCAATATCTGAAATGAGATGTCATGGAAGGTAAGGAGTGGCTACGTCTGTGATGAGACTGTAGCAACTTTTCTTTCTCTCTAGCATTAGAAATAGCCGCTGTAACCTGTGAGTCCCCCATCTGTAGATGTTAATGGAAACACTGCAAGAGAAAAAGGAATGGTGGTTAGAAATAAAACATCTGAGTGACCTCTTAGAGCAGTGGTTCTCAATCTTGAGTAACCCAAGTGTTCTTGGACTGCAATTCCCAGAAGCCTTTGGCACCAGCTGTGGGTTGCCCAAGGTTGGGAGCCACTGTCTTAGAGGATGGGAGTTCCATGAAATTCAAGGAGCGTCTGTTTTTATTGGAGGGAGAATGCAAAACTTTGTGCCCCCAAACGTTGTGTCCTTGTACAACCGCAAGAAGATGAGGAGCCTCTTTCTGGGAGAAAGGCCATCCCAATCTGTTTGCCAGAGAGGTGGGTTTTTTGTTTTGGTTTAGTCCTATAGCTAAAATATCCAGTGAAGCTGCCCAGAATAGTGGCCTAGATGTAGTGTGGGTTCGAGCCAATCTTGCATTAGCTGTGTCCCATATTACAGTGGGATGCAACTGGATGCCTCTTCAGAGGGCTCTGTCCAAGCCTTTGTGGTTATCTTGGCACCCAAGGCGCTTTCAGTCCCATTGCTGGAGAAAAGGGGAGGATGCCTGTATATTTATTGCTCATGAGGTATGATACTGCCTCCCTGTCTCTGGCAATCCAGTCCAAATGTTTAATAATCAGCACTGCTAAAATCAAATCATGTGGATTTGAAATGAATAAGGCTTCTGTGTGCTCAGGAAAACAAGATTTATCTGGCACTCTCCCCTTTTTCCATTGCATGCCTTGCTGGTAAACATTTGCAGAGGCCCCTCCCAAAAGTGGGGTGCCTGCTCATTGCTGTGGCGCCCATTGCTGGTCAGTGATGTCTTTGAAGAGCTGAAAGTTTATGTGCCTTGATTGTTTCCTTTAACCAGGTTATCAACAGAATAGAGGGATTAATTTTCTTATTCCAGTTCAGACAATTTAGAAAATATATATATATTACATAACAGAATTGTAGTTTTCAGGTTTCTTACTTGGAGTTTGATATGGAGAAGATGACTTCCACAATGCAAGCCATACTTGCTGTTTTGCAGACTCGAAAGCAGAATGGAATTTTTTTCATCTTTCTCCTGAAATAGTGGTGC